TCACATCAGCCTGATCTAAAGAATTACCAGCATAATGCATTTCTTTTGAAGCCAAGTGTTTCCCAGCTGAGAGGGATTGTTTCAGGATGATAGAAACACGTTTTCCCTGATAACATTTCTTCCTGGTTAGTTCACTGTTGTTGCTGTCACAAATTTAGTGGTTTAAAAATAACACAGATTTCAGGGGAGCTCTGGTGGCCTAGTGGAAAGGAGCTGCAACTACAATCCCAGAGGCACACGGTTCGAATCCACCAGATGCTCTTCTGGGGAAGGAGGAACAGTGTCTCCTCCTGTACCAGTCAGATCTGATTTGACGGTACACTCACATGAAAATAATAAAAAAAAAAATAATTAAAAAAAAAGTCTTTTAAAAAAATAACACAGATTTCTTCTCTCACATTCTTCTATAGGTTGCAAAGGTGACCATTGTCTCAGCTAAAATGGGGTTGGCGGGGCTGCTTCCCCTTCTGAGACTGAGACAGTTGTTTCCTGATTGTGTTCTGATTCTAGAGGTTTCTTACATTCCTTAGTTTATAGTACCTCCTTCCAACAAGGCCATTTCAGCCCTCTCTGACCCTATTCTGTCTTCCTCTAAGGGCTCTGACATAGCCAGGAAAGGATCCCTGCTTTTAAGGATTTTATTAGATTAGGCCTATCCAGATAAACCAAGTTCATCTCATTTTGAAGTGTATAGTACTCCTAATCACACCTGCAGAGGCATTTTGATCATGTAAAGTTTTGAAGACAGGCTTAAGTATGTTTTAGAAGGTTACCATAGTTGTTTCCTAGCACTGAAGAGTCACATCTATGCCAAATACGGTCACCCCATTCAAAGGTGCTCAAAACTCTTAACGCATTTCCACGCCAGAGTTCAGAATGTCAGCTAAATCTCTCCAGGTCAGAAAGTTTCAGAGTTCATCCTCAAGTCCTGTAACAGTACTCTCTCTAGGTGTGACCAATTCTGGGACATAAATTTTTTCCACATTTATATCACTAGAAAACAAGTTTTCTGCTTCCAAATTTGATGAGGCAAACATACAGCAACAGCTTCTGCTTGTTACATGCTGTCAAGTTGCTTGTGACTCATAGCGACCCTGTGCACAGTGGCTCTCAACCCTGCTTTATCCTGAGCCAATCTTACTCTCTCTGGCACTTCTACCCCCATTACTCCAGTTACTGTGTCAGTCCATCTCCTTCAGGATCGTCTTCTCTTGTGCTGTCCCTCCACCTTTCTAAGCAGGATGTCCTTCTTCAAGGACTGGTCCCTTCTTGTTTGTTCTGGTAGTTCATGGTACGTTCATTGCTCTTCTCCAGCACAGATCAAAGGCATTGATTATTCTGTTATGCTTAGTAATTGTCCAGCTCTCATGATGCCAAGTATTTTTGAAGACCATGGCCTGGATCAAATACACCTTGGCCTCCATACTGACATCATTGCTTTTTAGCGCTCTCGCAAGGTCCTTGACAGCAGATTTTCCTACAGTAAGTCATCTTTTAAAGGTGAAATTGTTAACAGCCTCAAACTCTTCTCCATCTATCATGGTGCTACCAGTTGGCACAGTAGTAAGGATCTTTGTCTTCTTGATGTTGAGTTTCAATCCACATTGAAGACTATAGTCCTTGACCTTTTGCAGCAAATACTTCAGGCCCTTTTCAGTTTCGACAAGTAGGTTTATGTCATCTCCATAACAAAGGTTGTTGATGAGTCTTCCTCCAATCTTGATGCCACTTTCCTCTATAAAGTCCAGCCTACCAAGTGATCCCTTCTACATATAGGTATAGAGACAGAACACACCCCTGATGCACTCTTTTCCTAATTTTGAACCATGCAGTGTTTCCTTCCTCTGTTCCGAGGACTGTTTCCTAGTCTAGGTATAGGTTTCACATGAGTACAATCTGAAGGTTAGCTGTAATTTGTTTTGATCTAAACAGCTAAATGCATTTGCGTAGCCAATGAGACAAAGATAGCCATTTCTCTGGTACTCTTCTGCCAAGATTTGTCTGACATGGGCTGTGAAGTCCATAGTGCCACAACCTCTTCTAAATCCAGCCAGCTTGTATTTTTGGTAGTTCTCTGTTGATGTTCTGTTCCATTCGTTTTTGAACAATCTTCAGGACTTTGCTTACATGTGATACTAGTGATAATAGTAATTTCCACACTCTGTTGTATGCTTTTTTGGTAATGAGGATAAATACAAATCTTCCAGTCGGTTGGCCTAGTAGTTGTCCTCCAGATTTCTTGGTACAACCTGGTGAACACATCTAGAGCAGCATCTGTTTGCTGAAGTACGTTTATTGGTATTCCATTAATTTCTGGGGCCTTATTTCTTTACAATTTCTTCAGCAGCTTGAATTTCCTCCATCACCATTGGTTCTTGATCATATGTGCTTCAATAACTTCTGTTTCAGTGAAATCTTTCTGATACAGTAACTCTGTGGACTCCTTCCATCTTCTTTTTTTTTTTTGTAAGGATGATCTTTACTTTTATTCTTAATAATCCACTTACAGAATTTTACTTCTTGTCTGTGCAACTTTGGGCTCAGTGAATTTCTCTCTTTCATTGTCATCAAGTTGGATCTAACTCATAGTTGACCTT